CACCATTAGACTATGAGGCCTATCACTGCGAGGGCGTTTGTGACTTTCCCCTGCGTTCGCACCTCGAGCCCACCAACCATGCCATCATTCAGACGCTACTCAACTCCATGGCACCTGACGCGGCTCCAGCCTCCTGCTGCGTGCCCGCACGCCTCAGCCCCATCAGCATCCTCTATATCGATGCAGCCAACAACGTGGTCTACAAACAGTACGAGGACATGGTGGTAGAGGCCTGTGGCTGCAGGTAGCATGCGGTCTTGGGAGGGCCTTGCTGCCGGGAATCCCAGCTGAAGGAAGAACAGCCTCAGCCTGGCCTGTCACCAGGCCAGAGGGACTGTGGACTATGGCCTCTGACTGCACAGAGGAGAGCACACAGTTCACACTCACATTTACACACTCCTTCACTCACGCACACATTTACCGTGGACAGCAGGTACTGAAAGCCTTGTGTAGATGCTACGACTGGATGTCACAGCCATGCTTATTTGCTAACATCGATACAAACTGCTGCCTCTTAGCAGAAGGGTGTCTGAGTTTATGTTGCAGCAATTGGCACTAAATTGAAGCAGGTATGGGTTAGCATTGGATTCTCCTTTTAGTTGGAGGCTGGGTGGCTGGATTCCTGGCATTGGACACTGAGTCCCACTGCAGAGCTGTAATGCCCAGATTTTCTGGAGGTGTGCATTGGGAGTCTTCAAAAAGTAAGGAACCACGGAGTCGGGGCACTCATCCCCCAAACAAGGAAGCTTTATCCAAAAGAATGTGTTGTGTTGAAAATGTCAAAACCGTCCTAAAGAAGATCAATTCTAATTAGGAATGACCTAGGAAGTAGAAAGAATATTTTTTCTCTTGAGTGTGTGCAGAATAGGATAGGATCTGCCAGGTTTAGAAGCATCGAGAAGGCAGTAGCAGGAAGAAATTAGAGCAATGGCTGTACGTGGGTAGCAGAGGCAGCTGAGGTGTGCCAAGAGGGTTCCTAAGAGGCTGCAAAGGAGGCTCTCAGGGCTTGAGTGTCCTGGGACCAGCTCCTGCAGGGGATTCAAGCCCATTGGCCAGGTAGGCATAGCCCCCTCCAAAAGGCAATGTGTGCTTATGCTTTGCCTTCAAATCTGTGCTGGCCTGTGTGTGCCTTTCGCTGTGTTTGTTACTGTTATTTTTTGGCAGTGTGACAGTGACTGGAAGTGAAGACACACACAAATGCTTTTGTTGGACCTAAAGGCACAGCCTGGACCTGCAATGCAGGAGGAAGTTGTTCCTTGTCCCTAGACCAGGAGCTGTGGCCTTGGTGTGGGATGAGCAGGGTGCAAGTCTGTCTCCCATCTCTAGAATTTCTGCTCCACAGAGGTGTTTAGTTTGATTTCTTGGTGCCTGTCCATCCTTTGGGACTTCTTGTCAATGGCTGGGAAAGAGAACTAATCTGGAGGGCTTCCAGGTAGTGTTAACATTATGCTGTGTGTTCTCCTTTAGGCTGTGGAGTGGCATTAATTCTGCCCTTGTCTTGGATGCCGGGGTCCTGGACGGTTTATAGGTATTTTAGTTCTTAGTGGTTACACTACTCTCCCCAGAGACAATAAAGATGAAGATTTAGATCCAGCTAATTTATTTAAGAGCTCCATCTGAGTTCTTTTCATTTTGTAAAATTCTCCCTAAGGGGAAAATAACCCATGTATAATTTATTCTTAAAATGAAGATTATTCTTCTTTGATTATTCTTCTTTGAACTTGTATGGCTGTGAATAGCTGTAACCAGAAAATGCAACAAACAATTTCAACTTTTTTTTTTTTTAATCGAAAAGTGGCTACTCTTGATAGAACTCCATTTTTTTTTTTTTTTTTTGTGACTGGGGAGAAGTGTCTGTCAGATTTCTGGATTCTGCAAGGGAAGTCTACCTCTCCTGTTTTAAATGATGACTTTAAACAGTGATTGCTCTGAGATCATAATGGAGAATAAAAATGGCACTAAAGGTTGTACTAGAAAGTTTCAAAAAGTTAATGAAAATTATATCTGACTATTAATTTTGAGAAAAACTAAGACTATTTACTACTTTTAGATAGAAGCAAACATTTGATAATTTTTTTTTTGTGACTAGACCTAACAACTTTTGTGTAAAGACATCTTGATTTAGCCTGGGCATTGCATAGTAGACACATGTCCATCCCCACATTTTAAGTTGATGACCTCTTTCTAACAAGATGTGTCTCAGGTGATGCTTGAGAGCTGTTATTTCCCTGCATTGAGACAGAACCACAGAAGGGTGTTGTCATTAGACTTGTCAGCTTTGTCCATTGCCTCCGAGGCCTCAGGTGTTCTTTGTTTACTGAATGAAAGTACCATCTCCCAGGTTTCCCTTGGCCCTTTGTGAGACCATCACTGGTAAAAGTGCTCCTCTTCTATTTCCGATTCTGATGGCCATTTTCTTGAGGATATGTTTTATGACCACAAAAGGGCCCCCTCATGTGGGACAGATAGGATGTGGTTAAACTAGCTTTGCCAAGAGGCAGAGAAAGGCAGTTGACTGCACAGTTGGGAACACTCTTCCTTTGCCTCATCGCTGGGTGACCAGGACTGAAATCCCTTGGCTGGAAGACGCAGTCAACACTGTGCTGCCTGATCAGGGACCATGACAGTCAGGTGTCCCTTTCTTCCCAGTCTGAGGTCACCAAAGTATCCCTACTGAGGTAAAGAGAATTCTCTGCTTAGTTAGGGGATGAGTGCACTACTACTTGGGATAATTTGAACCACTACTTCAAGTGAGCTAAGTCCCTGCTCAGGAAGCAGGGGCAGGCCAGCTGGGCCCAGGGGCCTGCCAGACACCACGCTGGTCTGGTGTGTTGCTTGAAGCCATAATTTATGGATTAAGGTAAACCCCTTCTTTGGCAGGAGGCATTTTCAGGATTCCTAGACTCTGGCCTTGTGGGATTTGGGGTTACCAAGCAGCTGGGCTGGGCCTTGCAGAGAGGGTGGTTGGCTTCTTAATCTTATTGCAGCGAAGCATGGCTGGAGCTGTGCTTGGCCTTTGTCTACTTCCCTGGCATTTTTATGTTCAAGTGGCATGGGAGTAACAAGCTGTGCGTTGTGTGGGAGTGATGCTAAAGGCTACTGGATCGCCCTATCCCTGGTGATCTTCCCTGACAACCATCATGGTGTCCCCAGGGACAGATACTGGGTTTGAGTCCTGAAGAGACCCTGGGCACACTATGGATGGGTCAGGAGACAGCCAATTCTACAGGTCCCCATCCCTGTCAGGGCCAACACAAATGAGGCTGTAGATCACACTCCTCCTTAAAGCAGGGCGTCGAGTCAAGTTCTTCCAAAGAGAGCATCTTGTGCCCCAAGAGGCCAGCTCTTCCCTTGTTGGAGGCTGTCCTGAAAAGTGGAGAACACAGTGTCATGGGCCTTGTTGCTTCTCCAGAGTGTTCTCCTGGGTTACAGGGAAGTAGAGGCCCTCTCAGTATACGCAGCATCAGTGATCTGCAGCAGGTGGGTTGGAAGGAAGTAGGCTCTGAAAGCAACTTTCTGTCTGGGAGCCATGGTCCTGAGTTTTCATCTTAGATGCATCTAGAGTGGCAAAGGAAAAAGGTGTGAAATTTGGGGAGTGGGTGAGAGATAACTAGATCTCTATAGGGTGGGAGGCTGATGTATCTGAGGAGTCTCATGGCTTCTGTACACTAAGGGGTCAGCTCTCTTCATAGTATAACCTGGGCCTGCCTTGTAGGAGGCCACTTGGGTGTAATGGATCCACAGGTCATCTCTTGAGAGACATCTGAGGCAAGTCAGTCAGGAGTAGTCATCTCCCTGCCTACAGATTTTGTCTCTTAAATGAGAACTGATCCTGTTCTAGGGTTTCAGGATTCTTTTAGAAAACTGTTTGGACATTCCAAGGCAAAGTGAATAACCCTAGTTACAGCCACATCACAAGAGTTCTGTGACCCAACCTCCCTTGTTTTTTTCTGAGCAAGTTTTCTCTGTGTAGCCCTGGCTTTCCTGGAACATGCTCTTGTAGACCAGGCTGGCCTCCAACTCAGAGATCCGCCTGCCTCTGCCTTCTGAGTTCTGGGATTAAAGGTGTGCACCACCACTGCCCGGCTGTGGCTTTTTCAGCAAGTGTGTGTGTGTGTGTGTGTGTGTGTGTGTGTGTGTGTGTATTTGTCACCTTATCTCAATGCCTGCCTCTATTGGGGCTTCACAAATGTTGCTTCAGTTTCTACCTGGGGTCAGGCAGGTGCAGGAGAGGTCAAGACCTGAGGCATAGGATTTGGCTTCTCCACCAGCCAAGAACTGTCCCATGTCCCCTGGTTGGAGAGTGTGGCTACCCTGGCTCAAGATGCACTTGTGTCCCCAGTCAGCCACATCCTGGCTAAGCCTGCCAGGTGACTGAGTGCTGGGCAAGGGCTCCTAACTGCTGGGAGTTCTCTCTGGTGACAACAAAAGAAAGTGAAAGTTGTGCTCTGGTGGGAGCCCAGGGGCCCTAGGGAAAGAGAGCTCGGCCAACATGGACTGTTCCTCCTGGGGTCTCCTCTCTATGCCATGAGTCCAAGGCAAGGGTCTAAAGCTTACCAGCAGAGTGATTGGGTGGCATGGCTCAGAAGCCTTCTTGTCCTCTTTTCTACAACCTGGAAGATGGTGGCAGCATTAAGCATTAAGAAGCACTAGAAGCGAGAAGTCCAAAAGGTGTTTATTTAGATTCACCCCCCACCCCCGCTCCAGCTCTGCTTTTTGTAGCAGAGACCTCTGTAGTTTTAGGCTGAAGCCAAGTTGTTTTCTTTCTTCCTTTTGTATAGAGCTCAGAACAGTACAAAGGGGTACCCCCACAGTGCATCAGTAGTGAGGGAACCCTGTTCTGAAGAGGGCCACATCCCCCCCTGCACCCCCCTCCGCCATGGAAGTTTGTCTTTTGAGGCAGTGGGCAAAGCTCAGGCCTGTGAGCTCTGGGAATCATTCAGGTACCATGGATGCTCTGCATTTGATGTGCACACATACACTTTAACCAAGTCCCACCAATGTTGCGCTTGCAGACAGCTTACAACTTGACTCTAGAACAGTGGTTCTCACCCTTCCTAATGCCTCACTCCTTTAATATGGTTCCTCATGTTGTGGTGACCCTCTCCCAAACATAAAATTATTTTTGTTGATACTTCATAACTGTAATTTCACTACTTGCTATGAATTGTACTGTAAATATTCTATATTTTCTGCTGGTCTTAGATGACCTCCGTGAAAGGGTCATTCAACCCCCAAAAGGGTTGTGACCTATAGGTTGAGAACTGCTGCTGTAGACCTTCAGTGAGGCAGAAGTGGGGATGGTGCTTCCTGGCAGCCTTGGCAGCCATTACAACAAAATATAAGTCAGCATGGGCATGGGAGGGTATAAGGTCACTGAAAAACCAGCCTGAATTTCAAGACTCCTCTGGCTACTGTTAATATCCAATGCACCCTCCTAGCAGCAGGCCTGGCCAGTAAGTGAAGGGCCCTTTCTCCCTCTCAGTGCTGACCTTGCAGGCCTCC